TGGATTTGGTAGAATTGACAAGAAAATTTAATTCATCCAATACATCATAATTACTTTTGGATTAAGACTTTATATTTTTATCAATTCAACCAAATCCAAACGTATATTCGTGTGAATTGTACGAAATTCAATTTAATTAGAGAACGTGGCATTAGGTTACAAAATGATAGAAAAGGATATCCTCTGGAACTTGTCTGGTTTCGGGAAGCTTCTTTCGTATATTTACCCTACCTAACTATGATTTTACCTAATCTATACGATTATCACATCAACCAATTTCATCTAATTTTAAGTGATCTTTATCCATAATTCTTTTTATTATAGGGAAGCAGCCATTGAAGATTAGATTTGCCGTTAGATTAGGAACAACGTTGGACATTGAAAACATCTAAATTCTGATACATTATGTGGGAAACAGCTAGCTTAAAAGTATCATTATATTCATAGAAATGACAGGGGAAGCATGGATCGTGGTTGAACTTCGTTGCAAAGCAAAGTCGTGGTCATTCGAATTAGGTGCTGAACAAGTACAGATAAAGTCTTTGCCTAAGGCTTGTTAAGTCAATATCAAAACTGTCCTTGGAGAACAGAACAAAATTTAGAAAAAAAGATTTGGCAAGACATGGAGAAGTCCAATTGATGCTGAATGGTTAATGCATTCAAAAAGGTTGGGCTTACCAAGATTTGGCAATTCCGACAAGTACAGTAGATTTAGGTTGGAAGAAAAATCCTCCAATATATTGGAAGGAAATGAGCTGTCTTCAGATATGCAGCCTTCACCTCCAAGTTGTAATCTATATGAGATTTCATTATCAAGGGTACAGTACCACTCTATTATCCCATTCATTTCTCTGTACAAGTTGTCACGATCTTTATTCCAACCCAAATTTAGCTCTTTCTTCAGGCATCTGTTAACCAAAACTGGCTAATTGGATTGAGGCCCGAGGACTCTCTGCTAATTCCATAACCCATCATGGTTTTGGGTTCGCAACTGCCATATTTTGTTGAGTCCAACATTGAACTATACCAAGGCCCAATGCCACATTTAGTTGGATTGATGTTTTCATGTCAAACGTATACAACGCAAACATGGGGTTGACTTAGAGGCTAGTTCAGGGAGTTAAAGCTGGGAATAGTGTGAATTCCATTCTATCTTTGCTTGTGTGAGCAGGGCGGATCGTTGGATCCTTCAATTCTTTGAAGTGGAACAGAAAATAAGAACGCATGCCACATTTTACTTCTGTCACCAATGTTGCGGTCCTGCTTCACTGTGAACCAGTCACGTCTTTTTCTTCCACAGGTACATTGTATCTGGAGTCTTCCGATTTTCATGAGGAGCGACAGCTAATGGAAAAAGCCTTCCCCGCAGTAAGTTACAAGTTATCTTGAAAATCTCGTTTGTGTATTTTTTTCGTTATAGTTCTGCGGCTTGTCCCCATTTACGCAATGCAGCTGCTTGCTGATCAGTAGTTGTGGAAATTATATAATAAAATATAAAAAAACCCTGAATTTCGCAGGTAATGTCTATTCCACGTGCAATTCCAGTCGGCGGGATTCATCTATCTATATTATTTTATGGTTTTATGTGTTAATTTGACTTAACATCTCTGCGTTTTCTATACATGTTGCATAGATCTATAAAACGCAACCATACCGTAAACAAGAAATCTGCTCAAATTCATGAGTTGATCTTCCTGACTTTGACTGTCCGATCAATAGAGAGCTCAAGATCTGAACCTGAGATGGAGGTTGTTGTCGACAGCACGCCTCAGACCAGCAGCTTTGCCACCGAAAATCAAAGCAGTGTCACTGCCATCGTTGTCAGGCTAATTAAGGAATCGTTAAGCTCCATCTTAACCAGATTTCATGCAGGTTATTTTAGGATAAGCCTATCTCTCGGTGGCCAGGCTTTACTGTGGAAGACCTTGATTGGACCAACCGATGACAGAAGCACTCTAAGGGATGTGCTCCACATGCTCCACCCCACGGCTTTTCTTGTACTATGGTCTTTCGCTCTCTTTACCCTTGTTTTGCTTTCTCTTCTTTACATCTTGAGATGCTTGTTTTACTTTAAGATGGTGAAAGCAGAGTTCTTGCACCATGTAGGGGTTAACTACCTATTCGCTCCATGGATTTCCTGGCTTCTTTTACTTCAATCAGCTCCATTTGTCTCGCCAAAGACAACCTGCTATCTTGTCCTTTGGTGGTTTTTTGCGGTTCCTGTTGTTGCTCTCGATGTGAAACTTTATGGTCAATGGTTTACAAAAGGGAAGAAATTTCTGTCTACGGTTGCAAATCCTACGAGCCAGATATCAGTCATCGGAAATCTTGTTGGAGCACAAGCTGCAGCAAATATGGGGTGGAAAGAGAGCGCCGTTTGCTTGTTTTCACTGGGGATGGTCCATTATTTGGTGCTCTTAGTGACCCTTTACCAGCGTTTCTCAGGCAGTGATAGGCTTCCAGCGATGCTTAGGCCGGTTTTCTTCTTGTTCTTTGCCGCACCAAGCGTGGCGAGCTTGGCTTGGGAATCCATAACTGGTGCTTTTGATACTGGTTCCAAGATGCTTTTCTTCCTCTCCCTCTTCCTCTTCACCTCCCTGGTAACGTATCATTAAAAAAGAAAATACTATCAAGACACTGACATGTAGCTAAGTATTACTATTATAAACTTAGATCGACCCATAGCATGGAAATTTTAATGTTTGGAATCTTATTGGAGAATGGAATTCGAATTTGCTTTCATCATTCATCCACGACTAAAATATTAGGTTCCAAAGACCCATTTGGATTGGTTTTGCCATGCAATAACAAAACTGCAAATTGTTTAAAGTTAGGCTAATCTTGATCCTTGCATCACCCGTGGTCCTTTCATGGACAGCGGAATTCCGAACGCACCACGCTTTTGGGTGCACGAATTTGGCAGTGCACCCATTTGACGGCCTGCACCACATCTCATAACTCAGAATGGTACAGCATATCAATTTTATATCTCCTGATGCTTTTTGCATACAATTTTGTGGTGTTGAGACAGGTTTGCAGGCCAGCTCTTTTCAGGAGATCGATGAGGAGGTTCAATGTTGCCTGGTGGGCTTACTCCTTTCCCTTGACGGTCCTGGCTCTAGCTTCCACGGAATATGCAGAAGAAGTGAAAGGCAGCATCGCGCACATCCTTATGCTTCTTCTATTAGCCCTTTCCGTTTTGGTCTCACTTGGTCTCACAGTATTCACCCTGCTCAACACTAAAATGCTATTACCCGACAACGATCCAATTGCAGCAAGTCTCCACCATTTACCAACAGTTTCTGCATAATGCCAAAGCCGCCAGATAGAAGGGCAAGAAAATAAATTCAAGTGCGATTACAATGCTGATTTCTGCAATATTAGCTTACTCTGTCACCAAGTTGTCTATGCTATAAAATTTTTGCTGTGAGATTGTAGAGAGGATATAAATCTTGCATTGCATGCACGTCAGTAAACAAGATTAACCAGTGATGTATGAAGTGATGTTTATTGGAAGACAAAAGTAAAAGGAAATGCTCATTGCTTTTCGTTCTCCTGTCATACAACAACAGTAGGATACTCTTCCGTCAAAATATGCATACCCGGACCTCATCTCCTAGAGCTAACAAATGAGAGAAGGAACAATCGTCACTGAAGAAGCCAAGGACAGCTTACATATCATCCTCCTCATTACATCTAAACCAAAAAAAAGAAGAAGGAAATTTCTTAACCTTTTTGAAGACATAGCTCAAATAAAAATTATCTGTCTCATTTGATTTTTATTTATAATTTTACATTACGTGTTTAATTTTATACTAAATCTACTAGTGAATTAATTAGCTTATTTATGTTATTTATGTATAGCCAAATAAGATATTACCTAACCCAACGTAGCACAATCACCTCGTTAAATTATATTATATCTTGAAGATGACAGGTAAACTAGGTGATCATCCTTCATGAAGTTTGATCCGAAGCAGGGGTGAATCCAAAAATTTTTATAAGTGGTGTCAACAACTAACAATTTGACAAGTTTCTATTTATTGACCAAAATTAAGTATAAACATCCACAAATCATATAAAATTAAATATAAAAATTAAATAATCAAATAATATATTTATAAATTAAATAAAAAATAAAAAGACTCATAATTTTAAGATATTATTTGACATACAATATTATTTTTTATTAACTAGATTCTGTTTGAGTCTTAAACTATTAAATTAATTAAAAAAATTTAAATATGAAATATTTAAAAGTTTAATTTGAGTTAAAAATTACTAGATGAGTTATTTTGAGAGACTAAAAAATATAGTCACGGATTGAGAAGAAAAAACCTTACTATAGAAGTAGGACTTGAATTTTTTAGAGGAAGAGGGAGAGGGAAAACAATTTCAGTTTAACTTTTTTTAATAAAATTTTTTTATCTTTTTTTTATATGCAGGGAAATTTTATTGAATTTGTTTAAAATAACATCCTAGGCCATTGGACACTAGAGAGTATGTTAGTAATAAATAAGAAATGTTTATAGGGGAACATCATAAACTTGTAATCCTATGCTTAAATCATTATAATGAGTGACCATCCAATCGACACATTGATCAGTTTCACGATATATGTGAAATAAGTGACATTCTCATTCCTTGTGAAGTAACTATCTGATTGATTGTAATAACTAGATATTTGACTCTAGATCGTTTTTCTTGTTCTGTATTTTCTGCACTGTTAGAAGTGAATCTGTTTTCATTTGTATTTTTTTATTTTTATCTTTTAATATTTAAATATTAATATATAAATTATTTTTTAATAAATTTACTTAAAATCTCTAATCTCTTTCTTACAAAATTATAAAAAAATAATAAATTCATTACTGTCATTAATAATAAAAAATTTTAATTAAAACTTTAATTAAATAATATACTTATATACATTTTTAAGAATTGAGTGATGTCATCTGACACCACTCCTACAAAGCTGGGTCCGCCCATGGTCCGAAGTCAGATCAAAGCTGCATGGTTTCCTCCCTCCCTTCGCCTAATATTTACCTGTTCTACGATGAAATGAAACGTTGTTCGGCCCAAGCACCAACTGGTCATCGAAAACCCAGCATGATCCTGGGTTTGGAACCTGCGCGGCTGAACCCCTTCAAATCCATCATACAAAGCCCGGGACAGCACAAGCTACCAGACAAACTTCTCCATTTGTTTATCTTAATGGTGGTTTTGGCACTCAAAAAGAAGAAAAAAGTATGGATTAGACGTGCTGGGAAGGTCTGATATGACGTTACCTCGACCTGTCAACAACGTTAACTTCTTAAAAAATCCGTACGCCCAGCGCAGCCTAGCTACTACCCGCTACCAGCCGTGAGCTAGGTAGTCCCCAGGAACCTGAGAAAGTCCAGTGGATATTGGCACAACTTTAAAGAAGAAGCACACGAATACCTTGCTGCAGCGAGCGAATCAGGCTGCGTTGCATTTAAGTGCTTACACGGTTGGCCATGATCAAGGTTCCTTGATTCCTAGGTGCAGAATCCACTCACATGTCACATCAGTTGATCCCCGATGCTTTATTTATTTATTTACAAAAAAAGAAATCTTTTAAAAAATGATTAATAAGAAAAGAATTGGAGTACATACAAGGTCGAATATAAGGTAATTTCAATAATAATCAGAAAATATTATATTTTTTAATTAAATGTTTTTGACAGAATTTTTTTTAAAAATTGAATATTCATATTTTAAATAAAATATTTTAAATTGATGAAATAAAAAATATAAATAAAAATAGAACAAACCAAATACAATAGATAAGGATAACATCATTGTCAAATCTTGATGAAAAAAAAAAAACTAGGACATGGTAAACTTATTACAAAATAAATAATCTTGCTACCTTAAGACACCAAATTTAATAAGACCATATGTTAACCTTTTTTTCCTTTATAAGATTGATTTTTCATGGTTTTAAACCCTTGAAAATTAAATATATAAACATCATAAATTCCAAAATTTTATTAAAGAACTAATGAATAAATTACAAGTACTTAAAAAATTATGTTATCTAATGTGATTAAAGATTTTGACACATTAAATCTTATAAACTTTAGAGAAATAGATAATAGGAACGAGTTTAATCATTTTGAGTTCAAATTCTTCAATGAATTAGATGTAATTTATAAATTAAAAAATTTAAGAGTTACATTACATCTTATTATATAACTTAAGCTCATATGTAAAAAAAAATTAAAAAAAATCTGAATTTTTGTTCAAATTGTGGCATGCAAATCCACCCCAGATTGGTAATTGCGGATTTGCTATCCCAAAGTAGGAAAACCAAGTCTCGGAAGGAAACGCCCAACCCACCGTCCCTAATCGCCGTTAATTAACGCTTCGTCAAAAAAAGTCAAAACTGATGAAACGGGGAGAGGGAAATTCCTTGACGGAGAAGGACGGAAAGTGATGGTCCCCGCTCCCAAACATCGATATTCGGTTCAAATCAAACAAGGGATAACGCCCATTTACCGCGTTTAACAAACCCTGCGAAGCCTTTCACCGATTAGGCGATGCCTTTCCATTTTTAGCAATGGATTCCACCACCCCCTTCATTTCAGTTCTTTCCTTCTCCTCCCTTCTTCTTTTCTTCATTTCACTTTCCGTATTATAGAAAGAAAAGAAAGGAAAGCTAAGAGAAAAAGATATTCATGGCTCGAGGAAAGATCCAGATCAAGCTGATAGAGAACGCAACCAACAGGCAGGTCACGTATTCGAAGAGAAGGAATGGTCTCTTCAAGAAGGCTAATGAACTTACGGTTCTTTGCGATGCAAGAGTTTCTATCATCATGTTTTCCAGAACTGGGAAACTCCACGAGTTTATCAGCCCTTCCACCTCGTATCTCTCTCTCTCTCTCTCTCTCTCTCTCTCTCTCTCTCTTTAAAACCCTAAATTGCTTCTTTTTGAAACTTGAAACCCTAGATTTCTGAAAAGCTTTTTTTTTTTTTTTGGGGGGGGGGGTTGATTTCTTTTGTTATCTTTGTAGAACGAAGCAAATATATGATCAGTACCAGAAGGTGTTGGGGGTCGATCTCTGGACCACTCAATATGAGGTCTCTCTCTTTTCTTTTCCTTTGTTTGCTTCTTTAACTTCCATGTGTGGGAGCTTGGAGGGACAAAAGCGATCTCTCTGTTGCCTTGATCCATTCTTGTGTGTTTGTAGAAAATGCAAGAGCAGCTGAAGAAGCTGAAAGAGGTTAACAGGAATCTGCGCAAAGAGATTAGGTATATAAAAAAAATAACAATATAAAAACAGAAATAATATTTATTTTTCCATTATTTTAATCAGTTTTTACTCTTTGTTTAATATCGTGTTCATGAATTAATGGAATTTGGTAGGCAGAGGATGGGTGACTGTCTGAATGATGTGAGCTTTGAGGATCTTCAGGCTTTGGAGCAAGAGATGGAAACCTCTGTCAAGCTTATTCGTGACCGAAAGGTCGGCCACTTAATTACTTAATATACCTTCCTAAATCTAGAGGCATTAATTAATAATCTGCAATTCTTCCTGATTTGGACATATACAAAGTTATGTTTAATTTTTAAAGAGGATAAATTAATTTTAAATTACTATAATAATGTAATTAATGTTTCACTTGAAAGTAAGATTGTTGTGACAATACACAATAACCCTTGATTGATATTTATATATCTAGTTAGGAGAAATTAATCAATTTGTGTATAATTCACGAAATGAAATATATGTAATAATCATGTAATACTTTTTAAAGTTAATTGTCATATTATAAAATATATTTATGATGCTAGGGGGGATTTTTCCTCTCCCTCTTTTTGATATATATATCTATATATGTATATTCATCTTTGCCTTTCAAAAAAAATTTGGATTAAACTCAAGTGATAGGAGTCGATAATGAACTGATTTCTTGAATTTTGATGTTATTTACCACTTAAGGTTTCAATCTGTACATCAATACACATTCACTGAAAAAATTGGATGTTATTTTATTTTAAATAGTTTTAAGGACTTTTAAATGATTTTCTCAATAGTAATTTGTTTAACTATAATTAATTAGTACATGATTTGGTTTACCATCTTGCTAACTTGGTCCTTGTATTTTGTTAACTAGAATGGTTTGACATGAATTTTACTTGCTTACATGTGAAAATGCCTTTGATATATAATTGATCTATGTTTGCGATGTCTAGCTAGGATAAGTTAACCAATTTTGTGCATGATTCACGGAATGAAACATTTGCAATAAATATGCAATACTTTTTTAAGGTTAATTATCGACAATATCAATTATATCTGGATTAAACTCAAGTAATGGGAGCGGTTGATAAATTGATTCTTTGAATTTCCGGTTTTTACGTTATTTAATACTTTAAGGGTTTAATTTAAATTAATACAAATTCATTGGAAAAAGTTGGATTTTTCTCATTAAAACTGCTATTAGATTGTTGATGTTAGTGTTGCTTTAACATGTATGTGCAAGAAACTTTGAAAATCAGGTTTGGTTGGAATTCTTTTTCATGTAGAAGCTGA